ACGGGGTTTTTCAAAATTGGTTTAGGGTTTAGGGTTTTTAGGGTTTGGCCCTACTATAATGGAGAATCAAATGGAAATAAAATGGAAAATGAAATGGAAACTGCTATATATAGGGTTATGTAGGGGATTATAGGGGTTGAATATAGTCTAAACTCCTAGTATCCCCCTTAGTAACCTCTATTGTAGTCCCCTATATGGTCCCCTATATAACCCCCTTAAAGTATGAACATTGGGAGCACCATCGTTGCTGAATAGATGACAGGTTAGGTGGGGTCCATCGTCTACTTGGAGGCTTAGAGGTAGCATTTACAGAGGGGGGCTATCAGTACTTCAAAGGAAGCTATAACTGGTCTCGCCCATGATAACCCTTCTTACTGACATTTTCTCGTGAACCTCAAAGCACTCTTGTTTCAGCCGTGTTTGGACCCAAAAGCCTGGATTCTGGCACCAATGGCGCCTGGCAGTCAGGCGGAGCCCCAACCATTGCGAACGGGCGTGCCCTCGAAGGTTGTATCCACAGAGAGAACGAGTTCAAGATTTTTTGCACTTGCTAGTTTTGTTGGCCCGTACTTCTAGAGTTGAACGAAGCGGGTCTACGTTCAGGGTTCGCAAGTCTCTAGGCAAGTATTGCCGGCATGAGCTGAACAACGTGTCCCCCTGCTTCAGATTTCTGTGTAGGCAGATGACATCATGTGGGTGCCCCGCCTGCCTTCAAAACAAAAGCATCCGTAGAAGGAGGATCGCAGAGGGGGGAATATGTGCCACCATGTAATGGCTGCAGTGGTCAAGCTGAATCTTCGTTTTCGAGATTGAGCCAAGTTCAGAAGCATGGGTTCTCATGGAGTTCTGGGTGATATTAGGGTTATCTTGGTGTTATATAGGGATAATGGAAGAGAAAATGGAAGCTACTATAATGGGTTATATAATATTTAGGATCCATAGCGGGGTCTCGGTTTTGGGTTGTGGGTCTAGGAGGACCCCCAAGAACGAACACCTGATGTTAAACCACAACTCCTCTCGCCTCTCCATGCTGCAGGAATCCCATGCGCGGCGCTTGCCGAGTATGCAGAGTCCCCCTTCAGTAGATAGAATATGGGGTACATGGGGATCTTACTATAATATTCCCGAAGCCATATTGTATCTACTTCAGGGGGACTATAAATGTATGAAAGACGCAAAGCTGACTACCTGCCAGAGTTATAATCTGTATGCACCGGCCCTTTGAGAATAGCAAGGGGCTGAAAGACTGAAAGCTCATGGTACGAAACACCCCCCCTCTGTCATCCTGGACATTTCAATGCCCCTATGTCTGCAGCTAGAAGGGTCGCCTTCTTCAGGAAGACTATGTGCTTGCGGGTGTGTAGGCAGAAGACCCAAATTTTGAAGATGCTTTGCAACCCTGAATTCCCCAACCCCATCTCAAGCCCAACCCCACTGCAAACCTTGAACTGAGCAATCCGAACACTGAAGCTGGGATGACTGGTATATGGGTGGTTGTCAAAATTATGGCCCCCTTTTGGGCACCCTAAATATTAGGTGCAGTATTCTAGTAAGGATCCAAAAAGGGACCATAACTTTGACAACCACCCGTATGATAGCCAGTATCCTGAAGCCCCATGAGTTAGCATCTCAGCCAGGTTGCACTTGGACTATTCAACAGAATTTACTTCCGTTCTCTGGACAAAAACCCCCCACTGAGTCCTCTAATATTCAAAGTTTCCAGTATTTCTACAGAAGATGGCCTTGCGGCTTTGTGTGCGGCTTTTCAGGTAGTGGCAATGCGGAGATTTCTCGAGTCGAGATTCAGGCCCTCTGGCGTACCATAGGCCTTCACGACTGTATTGGGACATGTAGGGCTTATATGGGGGTATATAAGGGTTAGAGGTATACAGTGATATACTAGGTTTAAATGGGGGGGGTATATGATATAATATAACCCAGCGCAAGGACTTCAATAAAAGGGCGTCGATTTCTAGAAAAACCCTTAGCCCGTAACCCCTAACCCTACACTCCCTGCTAAGAGCGATGCAATGAGAGGCGAAAACCGCTGCTTGGGGCTCGCCTGTCACGGCTGGCTCTTCTCTAGGGTTTAGGGTTTAGGGGCTTCATAGAGATATGTAGGGATCATGTAGGGTAATCCGGTCTAAGGTGTATATTTGTAGGGTTAATCTCGGAGTTTCTCGAACAGGGGCACATAGGAATGATTTGGGGATTACGGGGGTCCCAAATAGGGATTTTGGAATGTCTTGACAATTTCCAAAATCAGTTGAAGGTTGTTTCAAGTCATGCTTCAATTTGGGTCCCCAAGTGTAGTAAGCTCCTTATGATACCAAGTACCGCAAAAATACGCAAGTAACCACCCAAAAAAAAAGGCTCATGACTTTACAGCGACCCAAGCTCATGTGTCTTGCTGTTGCCGAACCTACCGTAAACATTGCCTTTTGCAATATGTACCTGCTCGCACGGCTTGTCCACAACGCAAAGCAAAAGGGGAAATCCACCAAAAACCAAATCCTAAACCCTAAACCGCTTACTCATGATCAAGCCAGGGCCTCGGTGGTGCCATTCTTTAATGCTTTCATGGTGCTTCTCTTGGAGATCCGCGGGTTGCCATAAGTAGCGTCAACAGTCAAACAGGTTTACATGACCCAGATAGTTTCAGCCTCCTGGTTCTTACAAACACTCGTCAAGTTCAAGAACTAGAATTCAATCCATGACAGTCGTTGCAAACCTCCACAAAGAATCTGCTCTACAGCTCCACACTCTGCTTGCAGACGGTTTAGGGTTTAGGGTTTAGGAAAGTCAAGGGGACTTTGCGAGTATTCACCTACTTACTAAGTCACCCTGGCCCTCCAAGTGTTCTTTCAACAGTGCACTGCTTCCAGGTTCATGCGTAGTTTGGTGCAGAGCTATGGAGAGTGAGGCTCTAGGTTGCTTTTACGACCTAAACTGATTCTTGCTACCCAGGAAACACAAAACCACGCTTAGCACAGGTCCCAAGAACTTGCCCCGCTTTGTTCCAATGATGACAATATGTGAAGTCCAAAGTCACACCCTTAACCCTAAACCCCAATACGTAGACCCTAAACCCAAACGAAACTTAGATGGGTTTCTCAGACAGGTAGCACTGGGGACTCGCGACCCGAGGCATGCATGGAGACTAAAAGAAGATTATGGGGCTCCTATCGTTCGGGATCATATGATCTGTAGTCTAAACTCCTAGAGTCCCCCTTCATAAGCCCTATCATAGCAGCCTGTATAATCCCCTATATAACCCCCTTTAGAGAGTTAAGACTATAGCTCATACATGGGTGATTCTAGGAAACTCCCATATCCTGCCTACTCGCTGGTATCGCTCGCAGGTCTCCCAAAATCATCCTAGAGCACGATAATTTCTGACCTTCGAACCATAATCCGATCCAAAAATGCAGCACCGAATCAGGAAGCAGATCTTGGGGCTGTTTGAACCGAGACCAGAAAAAGGACAGAATGTCTTCTCTAGCTTTCTAGACAATCCCAATATAATAGTAGTTTCGATTTCACGTTTCCATTATCCCTATATAGCCCCAATATAATAGTAGTTTCCATTTTCTTTTCCATTATCCCTATATAACCCCAAAATAACAATAGTATCCATTTTCTTTTCATCCTTATACAACCCAAAACTAATAGTAGTTTCCATTTTGTTTTCTTTCATCCCCACTATCATACTAGTTTCCATTTTCTTTTCCATTATCCTTATATAACCCCATTCTCATACTAGTTTCAATTTTCTTTTCCATTATCTCTATATAACCGCATTATCATGCTGGTTTCCATTTTCTTTTCCATTATCCCTGTATAACCCCATTATCATAGTAGTTTCCAACTTCTTTTCCATTATCCGCAAAAGCCCCTTAAAATGTTACTGGGAAGGTCCGGGGCAGGGAGAAGCTGCTTGCGCTTTCTTTTCAAGTACTATAGTATAATATGAGAATATATTAAGGGTATATAGGGATAGTGGAAAATAAAGTGGAAACTACTATGGTATAATATTCCCTTTCAAGAGATGGACCCTACTTGGAGGGTCAGAGGGACGTAGTAAGTAGGTTAATAATGGGGATAACTGGCGTTACTATATTACTATATAGGGGTTATAAGGGTTACTAACCTAATTCCTAAGTCCCCCTGACCCTCCAAGTAGTGAAGGGAGGGGCTTACCAATGGCGTCCTTCCCGCCCCGAAAACGCAATCCCCGACCCCAGCATGATCAATGAGAACCCGCAGAAATACTTGCTTTACTTGCGCGGGGGAGTCTCATCATCCGTTGCCCATGCAGGCAATAGACCACAGTTGTCATGCAGTCTCAACCATGGGCTTGTTTTGTGAAACTGCAGCCTTTATGGGGCTTCCCAAAATTAGGGATGCCCTTTTGGGGATCGCAATGATAAGTTTTATTGTATTTTGGGGTCTACATGGGGGTCCCCCTTTTTAGGGAAACTACCATAACCGAATTCAGATGAACCAGGAACGCCATGTAAGTATATCACTTGAATGCCTAGAAAGAGGAGCCCCACTGACATACGCAAAGGCCTGGATTCGGGTTTCCTCTGATCCCCCCTGAAGCCCTAAACCCTAAACCTTACGGCTCGGAGACCGCGACTTTGGCTTCGCAGTCAACTCCTCCGGGAAATCCGTGTGCAACAAGGCCCTTTAAGACCCGTCAGTATGGCAATGAAGATGGCGAGGGACAGCCCCGTGGCAGCTACTGTTGCTTCAAGGCCTGAGTTTTGAGCTCTGAAAATGCCTTGAAGGGGGACGTACACTGCCAAGAAAAAGGGACATAGTATCAGCGCTGTCTGCACGTAATCCATTGCACAGCTTGAAAAGCGAGGTGTTGCAAAGCGCTGGCATAACCAGAACAGAAAGTACGTGGCAAGCACAACCGTGGTATTCACTGCCAGCACCTGCGTCAGAATCACACGCGCGATGATATCAGGAGACGCTATGCTCAAGAACGACGCAATGTAGTCCAACTGGAATCCGGCGAGCGGGCTGATTGAAAGGATACCTTGGCATCCAACTCTGAACCTAAAAAACATTGGCTTCTACTACCTGTAGTATGTCATGTCCACTGAACGCAAGAAGTGAAAATCACCTAAATATGGTAATCTAGTAATATAGAAATAGAATGTAATAGAGTAATCCAGTAATGGAGTAATATATAGTGATATAGTAACATATTAATATCGTGGTATAGTAAGAATTGCAGATCCTGCGTGCCAACCTGGATACAATACTGAAGCGGCATGCGCGCAAGGACAACAGCTTCTGTCAGCTCCTCCTTCAGAGGCCCGCGCACATAGTCAGTGAAACCCTGGAGGCTACCATACCATCGGCACACAGCTGAAAGGATAAACTGCCGGTCAAATTCATTCGAACAGGACACAGAGTTCAGATCGAACTCTGCGAGATCTCTGAACATCTGCTCTTGCTGCTGGTACCCCTTCCTGATGACGTGAATCCCAGGAAAAAATACGAAGAAGCCAACAGCACCTCGCCAATGTATGCCTGGCAACCTCACAAACATGAATACACCCAAGCATAAGAACATACAGATCCAGGCAAGCAGGATGTTTCGCTCCACGAACATTGGCTGCACTTTCAATTCCCCATTTGGGTTGGCTCGACGATAGGCGGCAATCTCGAAAACCTTAGTGCCAACAATGAGACTTTGCGCAGTCCTGCAAATCACTCCTACTGGACCTATCGTTCCCACAGCAGAAGCTGCTGAATTAACGGGGAAGGCACACACCACAAGCGGGACAAGTAGGGCGGACTCCACAGTATGCGCAGCTGCTTCGTAATGGTAAGAAAGCCTCCGATCCCATAAATGCCGCGTTCCCGGTGTTCTGGGTTTGCTTGGCTTACGCAGGCCACATCATAAAAGCACCATGGCGTCTGGCGCAATCTCGAACATATGTGAGGTGCACATACAAGTCCATTGAGTGCAAAAGCAAAAGTCAGCAGATACCCCCATGGTGCCCAACTTGCCTCACCGCTGGTAACTAAGTTTTCGTTCCGAGGTACTCTCAGCGGAAGAGGCAACAGATTTAAAACGTAAAGTGCCATGACCAGCACGGCGGCCAACGCCCAAGCCAGGAACACCTGATGCCAACATGAACTGAGCAGCAGGGACAAATACTTTAGATGCCCGGGTGTTGCCCATGTGTGCGATAGGAAGACATCGTAAGCATCTGCTTGAGTAGACGTCTTCCACAAAGCGTCCAGCTGCACGTGACTCATCCGCTCAGGACGAACACGCCAAAGCCATCCAAATCCCTGCAGTGTGGACACCAGAGATATGGAGCGCGCGATTTCAGTGTCAACGTACAGCTGCGCCTCTTGTTCCAATCTGTCCTGCCTGGCCGTAAATGTGTAGGGAGTCGAGGTTCTTCTGAACGCGTCCTCGCGTAAAGGTGGGCTTCTGCTGGGACTGGTTGCAGCCACAGAAGCTAGTCCTGACACTTCCATGCACTGCGGCCCGTGTTGGGAGTTTTCCTCAGTGAAGGAAGAATGTACGTAGCGGTCAGTGGTTTGGACAGCTTCAGGCAAATCCTCTGCAAAGTAAACTGGCGGGGGTACTCCTCGGCCAAAAGCATTTTTCTCGGCATCCTCACAGCACGCTTCTGCACAGCAGCTGCCAGCATTTTGGCCCATGGCAAGCAGTAGCAATGCAACAAGGGCTGTAGCAGTATCAATGTGTCAATCTACATGATCTATCTTTTCCTCTGAGTTGCATGTAGCTTCTGGGCAGCTAAATGTAGCTTCTGGGCAGCTAAGCTACCTGCTACGATGGATTTTCGGCACCCTGCTTGCAGTGCTCTTGCTGGGAATAGCATCTTGCCGGTGCTTCAGGAAGGGGGGGGGGGGGGGGGATAGTTCCAGCAACCTCTACGAAAATTCCTATGCATACCCCTATAGCCTTGAATGTACCTAACAGTAGTTTCCATT